CAATCGCGAACGTCATTGACAATATTTACATTTAATATATACGGAGTATTTTGACTTAAAATAATACTTTGGGAAACACAATATGTTTCTGATTGTTATGATAAATATGTTGACATGTACGAATTTATTTTTCTTTCTTTTCTAGATTGCGATATTTATAATTAGAAATTATACTAATATATGTATATATAGAGTATATATGTTTATATTCACTTTTTCAAGTGTATCTCAACGTTTACGAGAACCACAGCCGTTCTATTAAACATGCGATATTAAGCGCGGCGTTGACTTTTTGTTTGCAAACTTGACGAATTACCGGCACTTAACGTGTTAAATTCGCGAGAATTACGGGATGAAGAAATTAAGTGATTAAGTCGAGAATGCGCGCAGCGCCTATCTAACAAGCTATCGGCAGTGGTGGCGACGACCGGTCTCGGTCTGCGCAGCAAATTGTCTGAAGAAATTGTGCACCGAGATACGCGCCAGACCGGTCAATAGATACTTTTTTTTTTTTTTTGTTTGATTTCCGGGACTTGGCGGAGCAACGACGAATTGCGGGTTTTAACTTTTCCGGGATTATTAGCACGTTTTATAAGAGCGGATTGCTATTCGAACGAGATTAATTCTCTCAAAATGCGCACGCAGTACGATTTTCTCGATCTTTCGACATGATCGTTTAATCACGAGTGAGTTAACTTACAAAGTAATATTGCTGAAAAGTTAAATCAATTATACTTAAACGGTATCGTTATTGCGCGCTCAATACGAGTATGCGAGTAAAAAAAAAAAAAAAACAATAATAATAATCGGGCGATTCTTTCACGTTCGAATCGATGCTGGAGATGAAAGGACACAACGAATCCAAACTCGAGACCCACGTTTCGTGCCAAAGATCGTCTTGTTCTCCGTTGTCTCGTTAGACTTAATACTCTCGATACTCGGTCTCTGTCGACGCTCGATATTTTCACTCGCTCGGTCGTGAAAAAAGAAGAGACGAACGTATCGATCGAAAAACGCGATGATGGCTTGATTGTTCTGACAAGTCATATTTGTCGAATATATAATTGAAAAGATGCAGACATCTTTTTTTTTTTTTTTCCTAAGAAACATCGATACTCGCATGCCGATAAAGCGACAAAAAATAATGAGCGTCGATACTTTTGTGAGCGATCCTACTTCTACGGCGAGATTTTTGTTTAAGCTACATCACACTTCACACACACACACACACACACACACATATGCGCAACTACACTTTACAAACTCATTCATCGATGCATCTCAAATGTAACGTAACACGTATTTTACACACACACACATATATATATATATATATATAATATACATACAGATTTGTTTATCTATACATTTCGTTAGTATAAATTCCAGTAACGTCTAAGTTCCATATCACATAAGACACGCCGTTCGGTATCACGATTTTTCGAACCGCCGCCGATCGCTCCTCTCGAATCGAAACTTCGCCGCTTTGTTCGCTGCTTATCATTGCCGGTTACACATTGGCGCCTCTTTCGCCCGTCTTTCGCTTTTCATTTTTTTTTTGGTCTCGTCTTCTTCGTCGTTGTTGTCTCGTCACTCATCCACGCTCGTTTCTTACGACCGACCGAAGCAGGCGCGCGCGCGCGCGCGCAGCGCTTTGCTGTCGAAACTAAATTTAGCGATTTCGCATTACAGGAGTCATCGCGAGACACACGTGCGCTTACATTGTTCGCGGGACCGTGCGTCATTTTGCTCGGGAAATTATTCCGGTACACAGATTGCCCGATGAGTAAACAGTCGGCCACAAAGTAGCACTTGAAATAACCCGACAAAAGTCGATGAGTGTGGCGGTTTAAGACAAGAAGAGGCGTGAATTAAGGCGCTCAATGAAAAAGTCGGGAAGTGAATGCGTGTTGATGATACTAGAATGGTATATCGTAGAAGATGAGAATGCATGTTGATGATTCTGTGTCGCAAAGTTGTATATATTTACATTTTCATTTGAAATTATACAATAGAATAATGATCAATTACCAACTAATCGATCGAAATTCAATTATCTTTCGTTCTTGTATACTCAAACAAATAGATATTTACAAATTGTTGCTTATATTTTCGAAAAAACAAAAAACATAAATTACACAGTAAAATGTTGTTCGTTTATCTTGAGCGTTGGACTCTAAAATAATCGTGCAAAAAAATCTTGATACACAAATATCGAACTAATTTTGGAAGATTTTCACTTCCGATTGTAATTATTACTAAGCTAAACGATTTTTGATGCAAGAATGCGTACGTTACACGTACATACATTATCGTCGCATTCGTTCCGTTGTTAGACACACAATGAAAATGTTGTGTGCTATTTTACAATTTCACGTATATATGTATGTATATATAAAAACCGTCGTTTATGACCGGATCTATGAGCTACCGACGACAGTGCGGAACTAAAGCGGCCGCAGGACATTCGAGTCGTTCACCTCGAGCGGGAAATCTCTTTTATTTTCGGACACGGTTCTTTGTCACGCGTCTTTTGAACCGGATTTCTCGCTGCGAACGCTACGACTGTAAAACCTGAGCGAACATATCCGCGGAAGGCGAAAGAAAAAAAAACGTGAAAGACGGCCGATGAGGCGCGCGCAAAAAACGCACGATGATGATAATAAACACGAAGGAAAGAAGTTGTTTCTGAACGAGCTGTCGCTCCGATTAAATGTACGCAGCGCTCGCGCAAATAATAAGCGCCTAGAAGGGAATGCGGAGGGGAAATTAACCCAGTTAGCTATACGTAGAGGATGAGAAGCGCGAAGTTAACAAACCGAGCGCGATTCTTCACAACGCAAATTGCACGTCGCGCGCCGTTTATCGCAGATAAACGTCGCTGCCGTATAAGCGAGATATAATGCAAGAATATTTTCGACATATTTTTCCTATGTTTTCCGTCTCCGACAATCTGTTCGATTTTAATCAACAATTGACTGTAAACTCTGAAGAAGATTTCATTCCACATAACAAAAATTACTTTTTTTTTACCATTGTAGTCGGAAAGAAAATTCAATAAGAACTTGAGCTGTAACAGATAATTAAAATAATTAAAGCTATCGTCAAAGATATAAAAAATATCAAACTTTCCAGCCTGCTAATGGTAAAAAAAATTATAAGTTTTTCAAATCATCATACAACGTTCTGAGTTTAAATTCATTTGTATCCAAACAAATGAATAAGTAATAGTAAATTAATTCTAATCAACTTAGGAAAATATTATATCTCTCTATCTCAACGCGCATAATAAAAGTAAAGTATACAATATTAAAGAAAAATAATGTGCATTCTATACAACCTACAAAAAACTTTACAAAACTTGCTTTATAAAAAATACATAAAAATACATGCATCATAAAATATAACATATAATATATTATATTATATAATATATTGCATATTATATGTAATATATATTTACGTGTGTATATATTATATTTTATATATATACAATATAATATATTATAGTAATACATTATAATATATATTTAGTACGTTACATAATATTTATAAAATTGAAGTAGATTAAAAAATAAAAACTTGTACGATAATGACAAAGTCCAACATATTTAAATGCAATTTAAATACAAATTTATGATTATTACGCGCGTACAAAAATATACCAATATATATATATATATATATAATAAATTCATTCATTTATTAGATTTATTTACGACTGAGATTTAATTTGATTGATCAAAATTGAGGACTTTAATTTATCGTACGAATTGTAATAATTACGAAAATAATATTTTTATTCGGAATTCAAAAACACACACAGGCAAATACGTCTTTAGAATTCATAAGAAAATAGCAAGAAACGGAAAAAAAAAAAATTTCTTTTCGAGATTTGGATCAATCTTGCGAACGAAATTACATGCCATTCAGAGCATGTGCTCCTTAGTTATTAGATTGCGCCTGCTACGAACAAAATCGCTATAACTACGTTGCGTCAATACCTACGTATCTACTTGTATATCTTATCGAACCGCCGAGATTTCCTGACTTCTCTTGGCACAATAACCTTCAAGTTCCCCGAACGACTACCGTCGTGTCCTGCGGCTGAGAAATCATCGACGACGACAACGACGTCGACTGTGCATTAATCATAATTTGCTTACTTATTTGCAAATAATATCGCATTTCACAATTTACATTTATCAATTCACATTTCCAATAACATGATCGATCTGTTGGTAAAATATCACAATGATGTCGCAATGATGACTGAATGAGAACTGAATCAACAGTCGTGACAGAAAAGAAGACGAATAGACACTCTTAACGAGGAGTATTCTAACTTCTCGAAAAGTTTGAGAACGGAACTTATAGACCACTCTTCCTCGAATGTGGTCCAAACGAGTCCGTGAAGTGAACAAAAGAACGAAAAAGCTAAAGAAAATTTCGAATTGTTTCGAAAATTTGACTTCACGTTTCATCGAAACGATTTTGCAAGTATATTTACAATTCAAGAGGAACGAGCATGAATGAGTGTTTCCGTGAGTTCCGCATCGCAGAAACAAACAATATTGTATGTGAGATCGTAGGACTTCTACGATATTGCGAAAATTTACATTTTTCTTTGCCAAAAAAGCGGGCGACCGCGTTTTCTTTTTTTTTTACGGCGAAAGCAATGGCAGCAAAAAAAATAAAATCCCGAAACGCGGGGCGAATCAGAGAGCAACGCGAAGCAACATCGCCGCGATTAAGAATAATACGATTCAAATTTGCCAAGCGCGTAACAGTTCTTGTATCGCGAAGAACTGTTGACGCGAGGCGTGAAACAATTATAACACCAGCAATAGAATGGACAAAGACATTGTCATTCATTTCAAAATTAGTGTTACACTTTTCTCGTCAGAGATAATATAT